GTTTCTATGTTCTAACATAACCCCTTGCTAACAAGCCGGGGTCATGAGAAGCAAGCTCGCCATCAGTTGGTTTTCCTGGCAGTACCCTTGTAAAGTGCCCATATGGGGCCCTGTAATGTCTATTGGTCTAATAGTGGAGATAGCTATATCTCCCTGAACCAGATTGGCTAACAGCATCAAAGGAGTATTTTACTAATGGGAGCCTGCAAAGTTCCCTCTCAGAATGGCAGCTCTCAAGGATGTCATATCATATATATCACTTCCTCATAGAGCTACTCTAACTGGCAGCTGAGGATCAGGTGTGGGGCAACATGTAGAGCTGGCTGGGATAAGGCATGTTATATCTCTGCTCTCCATCTCTCAACCTACACTTCCGAACAAGCTGCAATAAAAGGCATCTAAGTTAAAACTGCCTGGAGGGAGTAAAGGGTAGGGGCATGGAATATTTGATATTTATTGCTGGTTGCTGTGGAGGGAAGAGGTTAGGGTACTGTGTCTGTGAGTGTCTGACAGTATGTGTGTGACCCTGGCTGTCAATTTGACAGCGTATGTGAATCTATTTGATGTGAGTGTGTATGTCTAGACATGTCCAAAATTGGTAACAGGACCGGCACTCACCTACAAAAAGACAGATTTTTAAACAATGGTGCCATACATACTAGGATGACTACAAGACACCAGTAGTTAATCGAAAGGGTTTTTCTTTTTTGTGGCTTGAAAAAGGCTCCTGTTTGAGCCAAAAAGCTGTCTGTTTGTTTCCTTTAAAATCTGCAAATGGATCTTTGTGTGCCCATACATTTCTTTGTTATTATGTCTAGAGATGTCTGTTTGACAATGAGCATGTGTGTTTTTGTTGTGTGTGAGTGTGTATATCTGGCTATATGTCTGTTTGACAAAGTGTGCATGGATCTCTGGCTGTTTGTGTGTCTGATAGTATATGAGAGTATGTTTGACCGTGTGTCTGTTTGACGCTGTTTGTGTGCACGTCTTTATGTGGCATGTGTATTTAACAGTGGGAATCTGTCTGTGTGTCTAACATTGTGTACCTGTGTATGTGACCGTGTGTGTGTGCATGACATTGTGTGTTTGTGTCTGGCAATGTGTATGTGTGTATTCTGAAAAAGTGTGTGTATGACAATTTATGTGTTTATATCTGTGTTTGGCAAGGAGTCTGTATCTAGGTGAGGGGACCTGTCCAATATTTTTTTCTGAGGAGCCTTGAGATTTCTGATGAAGCCCTTGATAAGCAGGATCACAAGAAGGTACCTTTTTCTCCCTTTTGCATTGATACATGCATCACTAGATAATGAAGAGAATGACTTAGAGTGCATTTGCAGTAGATCTAGATCTTTGTTACATAGAAAACAAATTTACTTATTACACTATACGTGGACGATACAGAAGCAATCTCTATCTTATGTACTATAATGCAAAATGTACCTAAACAAACCGTCAAACAAAAAGCCGACATATTTATAGCTACTAATTACTGCCAGATTATTTGAGATTGCATGAAGTTAAATAAGACCATAGGTCTTCATTGAACACATACTGACAACCTATAATTATATGCATAAGCCATTGTATGATTGTAAACACTGCACTGATTTTGGCAACATTTCCACAATTAAATGTACAATAAAATGACGTTATGTTGCTACACAGTGAATTGTGGTTCAGTGAATTTCTAATCCAAAATCGCATTATTAGAAATATAAACAACTTGGTTAATTATTTCAGCTTAGATAGTTAAAATTTGGCATTCCAGAATTATTTAGTACATTTTCACAGCAATTCACTGTTTGGGTATCCACCTTAATATTCCAAAGCATTAAAAGGAACAAAATAAGGTTTACAAAGTTCCTACAATGCCTTATTTATTAAAACATTAGTATGGTACCAAGCACAATTCACTATTGCGACACTATCAAAGCATGAAATAGCTTGCATCAGATACATACCTGAGGAAGTATTATCACTGTTGTAAAGTATTCAAAATGTAAACCTACAGCTACAGAAATTCCCACTCTTTGAAGATTTTTTTTTCCACTGTTACTTCTAGGGTATAAATACTTTTTGAGGGTTTTTTTAAAGATAACAGTTCCCGTTTAAACTCTATATTTATTTTATGGTGACCAATCAAGTGCCGTTGTTATAATCTACATAAAATAACACATTCTGCAGCTAATCTTTCCAGAACTTTGTTTCCGGGCATGAAATTACTTGCAAGGCTGGCTTCCGATAAAATCTCTGTCAAGCATTCAACAGTGGGTTTCTAGAATCATTGTCAGCTCTTTGTCATGTGTGTGATTAAGAATCACACTGAACATAATGCACATAATGACTATGGAATGTCATTCATTTCTGGACCGTAACACTTTATAAATGGTATTACCTAACCACATGTGTTTCTGTAATTGTAATGTTGATTTATTTATTTTTTACTTTTATTGATATTCTAATATATGCAAAAATATATATATATATATATATATATATATATATATATAGTAAAAAGATAAACACAGAAAGTGGTTCATTTCCAGACAACCATGTGCAGGAACAGGGGTTTTTTTGGCCACACCAGACACGTCTTGGAAAACATGGTAGATATACTATAACTAAAAAATATCAGTTTACTTTTTAAACTGTGATTTGGCACTTTTGGCACTTTAAATGTTTGTATGAGCACAAATAATTGGGAGGTGTGAAGCAATCCACTGATTAAGCCTTTTTTTGTTTAAGGTTTTTGTAAGTAGAATACAAAAGAGGCGTGGGGAGCATTTCAGAGAATTAGATGTTCATTTTTAAGAGTTAGTTGCTTTTTGAAGCACCTTTTTAGTACACTACGTTTTAACAATATTACCTGCCTGATTTCCCAGCTGATTGCTGTAGGAGGAGCTTTCTTTTCCATAATTAAAGGGGAATTTTTTAAGCATCTGATACAGGCCCTTGTTCTGCAATATGTAATTCCCTCTAGATTCACTTTCAGCAGTACTGTACCGTTCTTGTGTGCTACTAGTGAAAGAGTAGCCTGCTAAAGCTGCAGGTCAGTTGAAGTATTTCACCACATATTTATGGAGTGCTTGTATTGGCCATCATGCTTTCATCTCCTTGATGACCAGCTGATGGAAGCCACTATGGGTAGGGTGGTGGCAGTGTAGAAGGTCCAAATTTACCTGCATGTGCACCTTTGTGCTAGCTTCCTGAATTGCATCCTTCACTACATCATAGTGAAGGGTGCAATTCAGGTAGCTCAAACCGATGTGCAAACCAAGCATTGAAGGAGCAATTCCGGCCATATCCATTGTAGTGGGAGGGCTCGCCGACTCTTGAGACAGGATCAAGAGAAAAAAGAGCTTCCCTTACACTATCTATGGCAGGTTATCAGCTTGAAGGGAACTCCACTTCAGACATGATGAAAATAATTTTGAAACAGGAGAGGTAAATCCATAGTCTACCTTCCCACCAGTCCATTGGCTTTGACACATTACGGGGGCATGATGATTTGAAAAAAATAGGGCATGTAGTGTCAGTTCTTACTCCATATATCAACATAACAGACAATTTGAGCAACAGTAATGGGTCAGGACATCCACTTGTTCTCCTACCTTTGATGAAGTGTTTCAAAACCAAAACCTTTCACGCTGCACAAGTCTATTCCTTAACGTATTAGGTTAGAATCCCGTGTTTGTAGCCAGTGATTCTGTGTTGCATTCCTGTTTCAGTTGAGTTAATTGTGAGTCCCCCTTGTCATCAATTGTCTCTTATGTTAGTTATATTTTGAGGTACCAGATCCCCATTTCTCCTTTTTCTTGGAGGAGTCATTTGTTTTGGTGTTGGTCTTAAATACTTAAATATGCCTAGAAATGCACCTGCACAGTCTGCATTTTATATGTTATTTGTGTTTGTCATATTATTTGCCTACATTAAAGTACCCACTTTTAATAACATTTCCCTTTTGCAAAATTAGTAGGTTAGGATTCCATATTCCTTCTTTAGTCGTGTCATCTTTTGTTGATACCTTGTCTTTATTTTTCTGATTGCAGTCAGCGATTATATTTTTATTTATGATCCTAGATTCTCCAAATCTGATTTTCAGTAAAGCCTCATCCTTTGCCCCTGCCCTCATGAGTCAAAATTTGGTAGTCCTGTTGCATACTAGTATCCAATCTTAGCCCCGTAGTCTTGTCTGTACTATATACTCCCCTCTCTAGTTCTTAGGTTAGGTTGTATCTAAAGTCATTGTTTTGCTTCACCATTATTCGTTCACAGACCATCTATGAGGTCCTGTGCACTTATGATGTTCCATGTTTTAGTCATTTGTTTCATATATTGTCATCTCACTCCCTGATTCTCTTCACTTATTTGGTATGGTCCCTTCTTCAGATATTTTTTATATCACTTAGCTTCTCAGGCTTCCCATGATATGCTTGCATCGATTATGTGTGACATGCACTTGGGTTTGCATGATATGTTGGTATTTGTTTATGACTGACACATTTTGCATGTGTTTATATTCTGATGAAAGTGTTGTGAGTGTGGTACAATTCCCCATAACATTACATTGAGTTTGTTTAGGTGTCATGATATATCTTACACCAATTGATTAAAATTAGTCACTGATCCAATCAAAGGTGGTAATACCCTATTTCAAAAATTCCCATGAACACTAAATTTCAGTGGATTGTAAATTGTAAATTGGAGACAATTTTTGTATGTGCCACACATATGATTGGGTCAAAAGACAGGGGTGGATTAACATTATGTACAGAAGCAAGGCAACAGGGGCATTGCGGAATAAATAAATATCAACATTCACCTTATTACAACCTTATTTGTATATATTAAGTTTCAATGTGTATAAAATTAGTTAAATAAATGCACTTTGTTAACAAAAATATATTGAAAATTAAGATGAACACATAGAACCACACCTTGTTTTAATAATCTGACAAAGTGAAAAACACACAAACAAAACAATAGAGATAACACATTATATATTTTATATACTTTTTTAAAAGTATGTTTTCATAATTTCAAGGTGAGCAGTGTGTACATTTCAGGGTGGGTGCCTCAAAGGAGTTCCTTCTGCATGACATTTTGAATTCCCATGATGTAAAAATGATCACCATGGATTGAAAATAATTCCCTCATGTTGTAAATCAGCAGAGAGATGATTATGCCACACATTAGAAAGAATACCTCTATATCTATAACCCAGTTTTTAATTATCTATATCTATAGTACCTTCTAGTTATTGGAAAATGTAGTGCCTTTAATTGAGACTTACACAGCCTTCCTAGATAGAGTGGCTGGGTAAAGCAAACATTTGTTGAATGCAAAGTTTACCAACCAAACTCTATCTCCCACCATATTAATAACTTCATGTACATGAAATATTGGTGAAATACATTCACTGTAAATAACAATTTAGAAACAGCATGTACAGAAAATTACAGTGGTGAACTACAGGTAATTGTTATAGTAAATAATAATGATATTATGGAGACAAATGGGAGAATAAATGTGTTACAGTATCTTCCAAGTATCAGTCAGTACATGAAAGTTGCATAAGTGGAAATTAAGTTACTCCACTTAAGTTTCTGTTAGCTGGGTTTGTGGATTGGGACCTTAACAAAAAACTGAAATAAAACCAATAAAAAGTAAGTTATGCTCACATTATAAATACATGGGCACCAAAACAAAAAAGTTATGGTGGGGAAAAATTGTGATTGAAAACCCCTTTCCACCTAAAGTCTGTGCATAGTTAATACAATGTTAAACAAAAATCTGCACACCAGTCAAGGCATGAGACTTGCTTTGATTCCTGTGGGAAAAGCAAGTATTATGGCTTGACTGGTGTGCAGATTTTTATTTAACATTGTATTGACTATATACCGTGTATATATATAATATCTATCTCATATAATATCTATCTCATAAATATATATATATATATATATATATGTATATATATATATATATATATATGATGTATGTTTTCTTAACCCTCCGTACACATAGGATCTTCAAATATAGTGTTACCAGGTTCAATTTTACAGCATAATTAAGAAATGGGCACTCAGTGATTCAAGTAACTGATCTAAATGTAGCTTACATGGGAAGAAGTATAGGGAAAATCTCCTTAGAGAGATCCCTAACCAGGTACGAAATGTTAGACTGGCTGATAAGAATGGATACAACATATAACAAATTGCGAGGAAATTAATGCTATTAATTTGGCTGTTGAACTATTAAACTGGTGAACCACCAGGCTTTATTATTCAATGTATTAATTCTCATCAGCCAGTCTAACATTTCATACCTAGTTAGGGATCTCCCTAAGGAGATTTTCACTATAATTCTTTCTATGTAACATTTTCAGGGTTATGCCCAGAGTGGGCGGGTACCACTAACACTGATCAACCCTTGTTTGGGATATTTCCTACACAGGGGAAATTAGTTATTATTCCTTTGATAAATTACATGGGAACTACATGTTATATACACAGTGCATATAAATACATACACATACACTATCACATGCACACATGCAGATTTGTATAATTTGACATCCATAGTGCATATAGTTCAATCCATTTTGATGTAATGTGACTCGGTATGTAATAATAAGTGAGTCTGAAAATCATAGCAAGAAACATAAAAATTAAGGAGGTATAAGTAAAGGATGATAGAACAACTCAATAAATAAAAAGTTCAAATTTACAGAATAAAAAAAGATTATATATTAAAGATTATAAGTAGGTCAATCCAGTGTTTAATATCAATAATGTCACATAAATAAGAAAAAGGTATAGCAATAATGGTTAATTTTAAGGTTTTACCCAGGATATATCGTGACATAAATTGCCAATATACGTTCTCGTTGTTAAATGGCATAGACAAACTACACTACATAATGTTAGAACATCAATTTCCTTCTTATAGATTATGCAGTGTGCTCAAGGCATACATTGTGAAGTCAATGGGTAATATCGTGCCTAGTATCTGTACAGTGTTTTGTAGAAAAAAATACTGCTTAGTAATAATAAGAGGTCTTCATCTTCTTATAGTTTTAATTATAGTTAATAACCATCTTGGCAATCATTGTCATTTCCAATGGCCTTACGTTGATAAACACCAAACATTAGCCTTCGGCTATCAATTTCCACGCTTATTGATGCTTTGCTAACATTATCAGACTCACTAGATGCACTCTGCTTCTCCATCCTTGATTCACTTTCAGTGCTCTCTTTAGATTGGCTTTCATTATCCTCATAAGTCATGTTTCCTTTGTCTTTCATACCAGTTGTTTCAGAATCGTTATTATTGTCCTCTTTGGAGCTGCTTGATAATTCATTTGAATTGCTCTTAGAGCTGCTGTCATACACTGAACTGTTTCCAAGCACCATGGACCTCATTTCAAATGATTCCTTGATCTCTGTTGATTCACTGCCACTTACTTTTTCTTGTGTGGTGTCAACTTCATCTGACTTGCTGTTGCTTTGCTTTGAATCAATATCTTCAGAGTTCTCATCAGATGCAGTTTCCTTTATTTCGATGCTACTACTTTCTCTAGATTGACTAATATCCTGTGTTGACTTATGACCAATGTCTTTTGAGTTTTTGCTATCTTCCATTGATGTGCTTTTGCTAACCTTTTCCATCAGTTGCTTCTGATCTTCATTCAATCTTTTAAATTCATTTGAGTGACTTTCTAAACTTTTCAGCTCACTAATATTTTCTTGTGACAAATCTACATCCTCGATTGTTTGAGCACTATCTTCCACTGATGCAGTGGTGTCTTCTGCTGAAGGAGTAGAATCCTGTTCAGGCAGTGATGAATCTTCTACTGATTCTGTGGTATCTTCTGCTAATGGAGTAGCATCTATCTCAGACTGAATTAGATCTTCCACTGTTTCAGTGGTATCTTCTGCTGATGGAGTGTCATCCTTTTCAGACTCAGATGGAACTTCCACTGATTCTGTGGTGTCTATTACTGATTTTATCACATCCTCCAGTGATTCAATAGTGTCTTCTGTAGACACCGTTTTATCTTCTGCTGAATGAGTGGTTTTCTCATCTGAGTCCGTATTATCTTTCTTTAACTGGGTTATATTCTGCTTTAAGGTCTTGTGAGATTTTTTAGCTTTCGTGACTCCCTCTTCAGATTGGCTAGAATGTTGAATTACGTGTGTGTCTTCATTTGTCTGACTACCTTCCTGTGAGTGACTGTCTTCATTTGATACATTTCCATGTGATTTGATATTTGTTATCACATTATATACTATTTGAGAACCTCTGCTCTCTTCGCTTATGAGGTCTTCTGATGTATTCTTCGCTTCCTGCTTTTGGTTATTTGATTTGGCCCTTATGGGTTTCTTTTTATCCCTACTTTTTGGACTACCGTGTGTCTCTTTACTAGCAACTTTTTTTCTCTTATTTTTCTTCTCAGTTGTGACTTGTTTTTTCATTTTAGAGGAACTATTTGCAGTATCTGTGTTCATACTGGAATCACTGTTGATGCTTAATAAGGTATTTGAATCATCATTTTGCATTTTGTCTCCGTCAGAGTCATACTCCTGGCTTGGTAAGTCAGTGCCACAGTCGCCATTCTGCTGATTTTCTTTACTATCACCAGTTATGACATTTACATCATCTTCATAGTCATCATTATCATCCTCCTCACCAAGGACATCACTAGCTAAGCTTACATCATTATCTTGATGTGTTTCGTCACTAACTACATTACTCCCTTTTTCAACATCAGCATTTTCTTTGGTATCACTAATATTTATGTCAGAAGTTGTAGGACTTTCATTGGAGAGTTCATTTTGTCCTGTGGTATGAATTTGCTTTTGGCTTGATTCTGCGATCTTTGTCTCTTTATTGTCATGGCAGCAATTAGTGTCTAGAATTTCCTGTGTAAGACACAAATATGTACACTGTAATATTTTTCCTTGAAAAGGCATTCTAGTTTTTGGTAAAAATCATACTATAATAAATCTAGAAGCAATTAACTGCCATTAAACAAAATACCAGGAAATAAAATGCTTAAGATGTTATTTTAAAATATATGGCATGTAAACAAGTATGTAGTGGGTCTGTTGCTCTTCTACTTATAAATGGCCTGGCCATGTTGATTACTTGTAATTTTTTCATTAAGGAGAGTTTGAGTCCTTACCTTCACTGACAGACACCATTACAGAGAGCTATGATGGTTGCAGTAACAGAAAAAGAACACTCAAAAAAACACAGTCTGTAATTTAAGGAGAAAATCATAGACACTACTTACCCATAATTGAAGAGATGCGTTTTATCATACTTTTAATTACATAAATAAAATTCTTATGTCTGTATGCTAAATGATAGAATGGGACCTTGTTCTGTGGCTCTTGTACCTTTAATATGATGTCCTATTCTTTGAATTGCTAGATAGCACTATTTATTGTTCAACCTCTTTTAGGTTCCATGAAATCGCTAGACTTCTATCTTGAGAGACAACATTAAATATGATACGAATAGAAATGAAAAAAATGATGTGGATCAAAGCCTTGAAAAGTCTAACTTTGACCCAAATTAATTTAACACACCTTGTGGCAAATAAATTTACATTTTAGTTACTAAAAAAAGTAGTAAAAGATCTGTCCCTCAAGAAAGAAAGAAAATGCATAAACCAAAGTAAAATAAGATATCAAAGTTCCGGTAAATAGTTTGCTACAATTTAATGTGAGTGCTGCTCACCTACCTCTAGTTTCTATGGGAAGGTTTTCTTCTTAATCTTTCATTCCAAAGTTTACACTTGGTTCTACACCTACTCCTCAGGCCCAACTAAAATGAGTCTTTAGCTCAAACACAAACGTCTACTATGATCTATGTTAACGGTATTAGACTGAGAAAGGGAGTGGATAACCCATAGTTAGAGTAATACAGAGACTATTGAAGTTGAAACTCCAGACCCAGAGAATGCAATACACCTACACTGTCTTACTTATTTTTTTTAATTGATTTATTTTTTTGTGCCATATTCAAAGCTTGTAGAATACAGATTAAGTTACAGCACACACATAAAAATAAAGTTTCACAACGTATAAGGCTACTCAAATCACCTATCTAAGCAAACAAATATGGGGATTCAGTTCCACCATATTGCCATATTGTGTTATGCCCACCACTACTTCACAGCACCCCAATACACTACACTAATTCCAAATGTGGGAAGCAAATTAAATAGTGCTAAATAAGTTAAAGTGTATTTAATCTATTGTAAGAGCATTTTGAGTATATTAAATGCAATACTATTGTGATAAAATTAATTGATTAAATACAATTTAGCTTGTTTAGCACACGCATTATTTAATTTGTCTACCACGTTTGGAATGAGTGAAGGACCCACCGATATTGGGATACTGTGAAGTAGTGGTGGGCTTAACACAATATGGCCAAATGGTGGAACTGAATCCCTATATTTGTTTGCTTGGATAGGCAATTTTAAGTAGCCTTATACAAAGTAAAAATGTATTTTTATTTGTGCACTGTAACTTAATCTGTATTCTGTATGAACGGTCACTACGGCAGCACCATTCCTGCAAAATGCATGTTCCGGGTGTGCCCCTAATCCTTTTTGTCTTTGATATTCAAAGCATGTGGCCTGGGTGGCAGAAATACATTCTTTGGATCAAACAATAGCACATTATATAGTGTTATCTTTGGCACTGCTCATACAAATCTGTATCTCTTCTCCATACCCTTTAAATGCCCATTACACACAGTGCGCATAATGGGAACTGCTATATATCTGGCTACTTCCTGTGACTGTCTTCATTAGATATATTTCCATGTGATTTGAGATTTGTTACCACATTCTAAACTATTTTAGAACCTCTGCTCTCTATACTTCTAAAGTCTTTTGATGTATTCATAGGCAGTGACCTCTTGTACCCATTGCTTTCCAGTGGATTTCTTTGTGCTTTGGCCTTCTTATAACTATGAATTTTAAATGCTTTTCAGCTTATAAATAGGATGTTTTTATGTGTGACTGCAAAGTCTAGTTGCACACTGAGGCCAGGCTCTTGATCTTCTAAAGCACAATATGCCAAAATTGCAAATCCTAAATTCTTAATTGGGCCAATTGTAATTTTAAGCTCCAGGCCTAAAAGCAGAGAGACATCACCTAATGATGGAACACTGTCAGTATACTAATCACTTATCACTGTATCCACTAAAGTACAAATTATTTTAGTGGATTCATTTTTTATTAATATGCATTTTGACTGTGTTTTTGTCTAACACATGCAACCAGAACTTACTGTAGTTTGGCTGTGTCCAAAAATGTCTTCATTACTCCCTGATTCTCCATTGTCATCCTCATCTTTATGTTCTCCAGAAATATAATCTCCATTTTTCCCCTTTTCAGAACTACCGTTGTGGTCTTCAGTGTGCAAGCTCTGATCTTCCTCACTATGTTCATCAGCATCATCTCCTTCTGATACTTCCTCTTTATGATTTTCATTATCGTTAACACTTGGTAAGGACACATGGTCTGTATTGTCCACTGTATCACCATTAATATTGTCTACATTCTGCACAGGAGTGACTTCTTCACTTGTGTCAGGCTAAAGAAAGTCACATAAAAAGAACATTTCTTGAGTGAAATGTATCATAGGGTTCGTAGTTAAATGAAATATTTTTGTACATTTTCCATTAATTTTACATCCAAATGATGTCTGTATTGAGCCCCAACATGTTCTATGTCATGGGGATGACTTGAAGCTATTATTGTTATTATTATTATTATTATATATGTGTATAATTTTATATATATATATATATATATATATACATAGATATATTGATATATATAGTGTAGATTGGATTAGTCGTATTTGTCCAATAGTATTGCTTCAGACCTGAGGAAGAGAGAATAACTCTTGAAAGCTTATCTTTGAAATATTATGTTAGTCCAATAAAAAAAGTATCATTGCATGATGCAATACTCTTGTATTTTGGTAATATATATATATATATATATATATATATATATATATGTATTCTCATGTTATTAGACCTTTGCCATTGTCAGTGGAGGGTTTGCAAGGTGGGCTGCGGGTTTGTGGGCTGCTTCCTCACAGTACAATGCACAATATATCATTTTAACTATACTCTGTTATTACTATTATTATTATTATTGCAGTCCAATAATGGCAATATAAATATAAAACAGTTATGTAAAATTAAGAAAGCAAGTGGAGTATGGTGAAACAACGCAGTAGTTTGGCCTCATGTTTGACTGCTTGCTTGAAGGTGTAACCCTGGCCAAATGTAGCCAGCCCTCCGTTGACCTTTGTGAGTTGTGATTACACCCGTCAGGTGTCGGCAGGAACTTGGGATACATATAATTTATGAAAGTGTGCTATATTTTAACAAATACAAAACTGAAGTATACATTTCTTTATAGACCACCTTAATTTAAATCATGATCTGGGAACTTCATCATAGGTCCAGCTTTCTTTTGGTGCTATTGACAATTGGGATATCCTACTCCAAACCAACTGCTTGTAACAAGATTTTCAAGAAATGGTTTTAAAATGACACACAGCTACTGAAGGAATATATGAAAATTGGTGTAACTGTAACATAAGAATACCCTTCTCTGTCTCATTAGAAATGTTGCCTTTTAGCTGAAAGCAGTAAGGTAAATTGTTAGTGAAGCGCTAACCTAGGAGGTTTGCCTAAATGGTTGCCTAAGAGGTTTGCCTTGACAGGGTAGATGAGCTTACATTTTAAGGGCCTTTGGAGTGATACTAAAAACCACCTTTTTTTTTTGTTTTGTTCAATATATTTAGGCTGACAAGTAAGAAAACTTCATCAAGTTGCTTTTTCTTTACATCTGCTCTGTGGTCAGCAATTTTACCCACCTGCTGTTCTGAACTCTGCAAGCTTGATTCTGATGATTTTCGGTTAATCTTCAACTATATGTAAAGAAAAATAAAGCATACATGTTTATGCATTAAATAAAACTATACGGTGAATGTTTAACACAGAATTCATTATATAGCCATATTACTGTAGAACTGTCCCACTAAATGCCCAGATTTTCTGTTTTTAAAAGGATACACCAGTGATTCAGCCACTTCCATTTTAGATATATTCTGAGTACATACTCAGCTTAGTCAATGAGAAATCAGTGTGAACTATGCAGCTGACATCACTCCACCTCATAGCCAATCACTGCCCTGGTATTATTTCTCCTCTTTCCCTTCATCTTAATGAAGTGGTCTGGGTGTAGTGGCTGTGAAGGTTTAACTCAGCAATGCAATGACTCTGGAGGAGGGCATGTCATTCCTCCTCCATGACTCTGCTGGAGGAGCGGTAAACAGCACAAAGGAAGCCTTGGCGCTGGGTAAAAGGCATTTTTTATGACTTTATTCCAAACGGGGGGGAGAGAGGAAGGGGTATCTGTTAGGATAAGGACAGGAACATCAAAGCGTTAGGAATATAGGAACACAGGTTAGTGTTTTAGCGTGCCTTTAGCATGTCTTTTAAATACTATACTGACAGCAAGTGGACTGTGATTGACTGTGAGGGTGGAGTCAAGTCAGCAGCTCAACTCACACTGATCTCTCAATGGCTGAGCTACACTGCTTACCTTCCAATCAAGAATATGTTTTGTGAACAGGGGAGGCGTGGCTAAAAGGTTGGAGTTATGGTGCAGAATGCTGTAAAAAATATTTTACAGTAAAACTAAAGGTATTGGAACAGGGAAAACAAGGGAAAAAGTCACATTATGCAAAATTATTTGACTGACACCTTCAAGACCAGAGCTATCAGCATTAGTAATTCCAAATTCTATAATTAAATTGTCCATGTACCAGGATTGGTTCTGTAATGTTTCCAAAACCGATCCAAAGTATACAAAAAGGACTTGTTCCCACTTTTAAGAGACATTACGGCCGTAGAATAAACAACCAGGCTTATTACTTACACAAGAATGTAATGTTATGCCTATAAATGATAAAAGATCTTACCTGAGATTTTGGCATACTAATAACAAAATGACTGTTTCAAAACACCTACATAAATATTATTTTTAATGGGTTTAGTGACCAAAATTGTAAAACTTTAATCTCTAAAAAAGGAATGCACTCTATGTGCTACAGGAGCTGTGGCTGCAACCCCCCCTCCCAAAAAAGGCAAACAACTGAAACTCGTAGGCATATGAGGTATACTGAAAATCAGGACAAAGGGGTGAATCTGTTTCCACAAACTTCCCTATAGTTATTAAAGGGACACTATAGTCACCAGTGCAACTACATGTATTCCTGACCCTATAGCGTTAACACGACCATCTAGCCCCCCTGGGCCCCTCATGCCTCCATAAATATAGTAAAAATATTACTGTATTCAAGCCAGAAGCTGTAAATCTGCATGCTGTTAGACTCAGGAAAAACAAGCAGTCTGCTGACATGTGGTAGCCTGATCCAATCACAGTGCTTCCCCATAGGAAGCTGAGACTGACAAAGAGGCAGATCAGGGACAGAGCCAGCATGATTCAAACACAGCCGTGGCCAATCAGCATCTCCTTATAGAGATGAATTGAATCAATGAATCTCTATGAGGAAAGTTCAGTGTCTGCATGCAGTGGGAGGAGATACTGAATCACAGGATGCTTGTGCACAGCAGATCTGAGTGGATGAGGCATATTATGAAGTCCCTTTGGTGGCATTCTGAGTGACTGCAACTGGAGATGTTCCTAGCTTTCAATGTAAACACTGTATTTTCTCAGAAATACAGTGTTTACATGAGAAAGGCTGCAGGAAGCTATAGTTCTCGCCTGAACAACCTCATTAAGCTTAACCCCTTGAGGACCGTCATTGGAAACATCCCCTTGAGGACTGATGACGGTCCTGAACCGTCATAACGGTCTTGGGGTACTTACCTGATCGCCGTCGGTCCCCCGGCGGCGATCAGCTTTTCACCCGGTCCAGGGAGACTGCCTGTCTGCAGATCAGGACCTCGCGGCCACGTGATCGCTCGATCACATGGCCGCAATAGGTGCCTGTGTATCTGCCTGCAGGGGGACTGTCTGTGCTGACAGGCAGTCTCCCTGCAAGTGGAAAATCAGAAATAAAGTTTTAAAATAAATTAATAAGTGTAAAAAAAATAATATATATGTGTATATATATAAGATATATACATGTATTATATCTATATATAACATATGTATATATATCATATATATAATGTCATACTAAGTGTATTTTTATATTTATATATACATATATTAATATAAAAATACACTTATAATTAAATTACACATGTGTATATATATATATTATATATTATATATAATAACTATATATAATGTATATATATATTATAAAATATAAATAATAAGCATTTAAAATAAATAAAAAAATTTAAAATAATTTTTAATAATTAAAAAAAATTATATATATATATATATAATTTTATTCTAATGGTATTTTGATATTAATATATATATATTTATATCAAAATACACTAAGAATGAAATGATACATATATCTATGTATAAATAAATAAATACGAAATATACATATGTCCATATACATAATTACATAAATAATTTCATAAATATACACGTAGACTTCAAGTATATGTATATTTAAATTTTGCGTGCATATTTATGTAATATTATTACATAATTAAGTAATTTTATTGATTGCAATTTGAGGGAGATGCCTGAGAACCCAGGACGAAAGTCCAGAGAATTTAATTTGCTAGCACTGTGTTTAACCCTGTAACTTTCTAGGACACCCTAAAACCTGTACATGGGGGGTACTGTTTTACTCGGGAGACTTCGCTGAACACAAATATTAGTCTTTCAAAATAGTAAAACATATCACAACGATGATATGGTCAGTGAAAGTGAAGTTTTCTGCATTTTTCACATACAAACGGCACTTTCACTGATGATATTACTGCTGTGATAGGTTTTACTGTTCTGAAACACTATTATTTGTGTTCAGCGAAGTCTCTAAAGTATAACAGTACCCCACATGTAGAGGTTTTATAGTGTTTTTGAAAGTGACAGGGTCAAATATAAGGCTTGATTTTACTTTTTTTTTTTTTATTGAAATTTGTCAGATTGGTAATGTTGCCTTTGAGAGCGTATGGTAGCCCAGGAATGAGAATTACACCCATGATGGCATAATATATGATATGCAAAAGAAGACAACCCAAGGTATTGCAAATTGGGTATGTTCAGCCTTTTTTAGTAGCCACTTAGTCACAAACATTTAGCTTTTTTTGCATTTTTAACACACAAACAAATATAAATGCTAACTTTGGCCAATGTTTGTGACTAAGTGGCTACTAAAAAAGACTGGACATACCCCATATTGAATACCCTGGGTTGTCGACTTTAAAAAAAATATGTACATGTGGGGTGTGATTCTGGGATTTATGACCAATAACAGTATTACAATGTCACTATTGATAAATGTAAAAAATATATATATCGAAAGAAAAATTTCCTACTTGTACTTATAGCCCTATAACTTGCAAAAAAAAAGCAAAAAAGCACACAAGCACTGGGTGTTTTTAAACTGAGGACAGCATTTTGAATCTATTTAGCAGTTTTTTTCATTAGCTTTTGTAGATAATTAAAAGATTTTTCAAGTAAAAGTCCCAAAACATGTTTTTTTTCCTTCAATTTTTCACCATATTTTATTATTTTTTTTAAAGTAAAATATAGGACATGATACAAATAATGGTATTTAAAGAAAGCCCTTCTTCTCCTGAAAAAAACTATATATATATATAATTTGTATGGGAACCGTAAATGAGAGAGCCGAAAATTACAGCTAAACACCACAAAAGTGTTAAAACCGCTCTGGTCCTTAACGTATAACATCGCAAAAACAGGCCTGTCCTTAAGGGGTTAAGTTGTTCAGGTGACTATAGTGTCCCTTTAAAGGCAAAACTGTTCCTACTTTTTCCATGTTTTATGCTTAGTAAGACTATATATGTATTTATGCATGGTTTGCAAGAAATCCGGAAGAATACACAGTATATACTACATGTTTGTGCACTAAATAAGTTAGAGGAAATAATGTTAAACAAAGACATAGCAAACAAAGCAAAACAAAAAAAACAACAACCTTTGTTATAAAAAGTTAAAAGAATGGTAACGCTATGAAAATATTTTAATGCTTGTTTATATGTTTATTAGTTTATATATTTATATATGCAGTAAGTATATTACGCTTTCTATATTTATTTACATAGTATAAAGCAATGTGATGTAATTAAAAAGTGAGGTCATAGTTAGAAAAGTTGGGCAATCGCCATGGACATCATTGCATTTAACATGGAATTCTATTGGTTTCCATAGTGATCATTGCATTTTTATGGTAGTGTCACTTTTACCATTGACGTTTTGCTGCCAGCTGTACAAGATGCATTAAAATGTGTTAAATATTACAGCATTTTTACATTTATATAGCAGTACATGTATGTTTTAAACCCTTAATGAGAAATGATTAAGACTCACCTCAGCATTGTCTGAGCTGTCTGAATCTGAATCTGAAATCTATTCATTGATCAAGAGAAACAGAATATTAATGTTACAGGTAATTACATAAATGATTGTTTTATCATATAATTTCATGCATGTGCTCAACTTACAGGGAAACACGATACAATGCTGAAGAGGCAGATACAAATCAACGCACGTTTCATTGTCCTTTTCAATATCTGAAACAGAAACACAAAATGTGTCAGTTAACTTTAGGGATCTTTGTATTGATTTATCTCTGTAAATTGGACTGATCATATAGTAAAGTATATTACTAAGTATCTCAAAGGAAGGCAGGCTAAATTGCAGGTTTTTACAGGTTTCTCTCACGTGATGATGAATGGATCTTACGTGGCAAACATTTAATAACAGACAGGAAGGATAAAACTCAAAAAAATCAGAGAAGAGAAGCTAAGGTGCATCACGTATGTTGAAAAATTTAAAAATTTATATCTAAAACAGACTTCTTAGGATACTGTAGAACATTGTTTACCTGTAAGTTTAATTAATAATAGTGTAATACAAGTTTGTCAAAATTGATGACCAACTCCAGTAACTGTTCAAATGTCAAGGCGGCTGGGTAGATTATTTACAAGGTTTGTTCAACCTTTGATCCTTCTGAGTTTGATAGACTGTGTAATAGTTGTATATGTAATATATATCTCTGCTTTTAAATCATAGAATATGCACCAAATCACTCAAAGCCTCCTTAGGCAGCAATGTACTATATACAAATTAGTTTATTATCAACATAATATTGAGAGTACATGAGGCAAAATTTGCTCCTTGATGAACATATGTCTGAATTATTCAATTATGTATTTGATTTGCCTATTATCAATGACAATAAGGACTATACTCTAACCAAGAAATGCTGGAAATTCTGGAATTCCGAGAAGTATACACTAAAACGTCTGTAATTTGTAACAAAAATACTTCAAAAGATAATTATGAGTTATGCATCTTTAGACAGAGATACATTCATGTGTCAGCTCTCACTACAGCAAAGGAATATCCACACATAATGTTTGTATTGTTTTTACTGTGCTATTTATTCTTTGTTGACTGACAAAACAGTTGCAGATGTTGCTTTTCGTAATCCGTAAGAAAACAAAACCTTCACTTTAAGAGCTGTTATGGATGATGTGAAATGTTGGGCTTTATTACTATAATGTAAACTTCCTTTATTTAATATCATGAAATATTAAAGATGATCCATAAACATGCTCTCTAAATCGCCATGACTGTTAAGGGAGATATTTATCTTGGTGCACCCAACCAATATGCCACCTCCATGACGTGAAATGTATTTCTCTGATAGGGGTGAATAAGATAGGCAGGTACAAACACTGAATACAGAATTGACGTATAGGTAACAGTAAGTGGGGGAACAAGGGTTTCTATAGTAAGGTGGTGTGGTGTTGAATGATAGATGCGATTATAGCTGACAGGATAAATGGATGGTTAGGAGCTGGGATGGTAACATATAGAAAAGTTTTACAGGTAGACGAACGTACATCTTTAGTTAATTTTGTGCTGTGATTGGCTGCTACTCGTCCAAAATAAATGTGATATGTCAGGGTTTAATGCTTTGTTTAGTATGGCAAATTGTGTTCATTGTACGGGTATCATTTTCTTTGTGAATATACTATTTATGTTTGAAGTCCAGACCAGTTTCCTTTTGGGTTGAGCAGACCGCCCCACCCCCAAGCTTCAGAGGCCCCTTTTGGAAAAGACCACAGAAAAGTATATATTTGAGGAGGTTTCGGATAACAATGTGACTTTAATAATGATTATTATTTGGTATAGAGCAGATATATGATATGCATTGTGAGTGTATACATCAAAGCACTATCACTTTAATTGTTTAGTTTTAACACAGGATTTTTTAAAATATTGTTCATCACATTAATTCAGCATTTTATATATATATTCACAGTTAAATACACTTTCAATCTTTTTATGACTAGCACTATTTAATTTGTCTGCCATGTTAAAATGAAGGCAGGACCCACCGATACTAGGATACTGTGGAGTAATAGTGGGCATCACATGATATTGAATCCCCATATTTGTTGAGATAGGTGATTTTAAGAAGCCTTATAGAATTTAAAACTGCATTTTTGTGTGTGCACTGTTGCTTAATCTGTATTCAGGAGGGGTCAGACATCTTTGGCCTTGGGGCAATTACAAAAAACGGTATTTTTGACAGTGAATGTGTAATCCCTCCAGCTGGATTAGACAATTAACCTACCCCCCTCAGTGAGCTGACTAAGCTTCATGAGAGGTTTAATCCATCGTAGCTGTAATAACAGTGTTTGACTATCTTTGCGACAAGTATGACTTCACAGTGTATGACCATATTTAATGTATGGAATTATGAAAGATGCAATTAAACATGAAAACAAAGGCGCCAGTGTTATATTTATAATCACACTAGGAACTAAATAATACAGAGACTAGCTGTTCTAGCTTTGTGTAATGTTTCCAAAAAATTACAGGTTTTATTTGGATCCGAGGATCTTAACATCACCATTTTGTGTCTAAAGTGTATTTAAAATAAGAACCTGGTTGTTAAGATTTCGGAGAAATTGCCTTATACTTTATTCTTTTCCCTCTTTGTTATAGCCACCTAATTGTTCTCATACTGTAATTTTGTGGCAAAAATGCATTCCTTTTAAAGCACTGTTTATGTTTCCTTATTTATACAAAACGGAATATGCTCTGATATATATATCTATTATGCAGCACTACATTCCTTTTAATGAAATATGTAAGCATATATGTATATATGACATAAATAAGTATCATGCATAGATTGTTTAAGATATTATTCAATTCTGTGACAATCTATAAAAGCATAATTCTACCACACAACATTTATAAAATAATATAATATTAATTAGACTTGGCATGGTGAAAAAGATTGGTTCATCTGAATCAATTAATCTGAAAAAACAAAAGTTGTTGCAGGAGTTTTGAGATTCATCCATGTGGTGTTTGGTTCGAATGAATTTTATTCATGCAATAGTTTCGTGAAAAATGATTCAGATAAACCAAAATGGCCTGAAAATTGGAAAACAATAACTATATATATTGATTTCCATCAATTATCTTTTTTTTTTTGTGCTGCAGAAGGTACTCTGTACTAATGGAGCAAAGTGAGAAGTTCCTAATAAGGAACTTCTGTTAGCTCTCCTTAGCTCTGAAAGCATCCGTTGATCTTGGAGTTTTCCTTCAAGGCCTGTTATGAGAACAATAGGCTCTCCAGAAGACTGAAGGCTCTACAAACCTCGTATATTTCCCTACACAAAGTCTATTAAGGACATGTTTAGAACACATCTTAGAAAATCGCAAAAAGTTATTTAGTATTCAGGAACTGATTTCCTTGTGTTGGACATTTGGCTGGTCAATCGGTCTTTTTATCTTATGGAGTAGGTAACCTTGGAACTCCAGATGTTGTGGACTATGTCTCATTTGATGCTTTACCAGCATTATGGCTGTACTAGCATTATGGGAGATGTAGTCCACAACATCTGGAGTGCAAATGTTCCAATTACATATAATTTATCTAGTAATTGTTATTTTATCTAGCCTATTTTGTATTCCACATTATCTGCTTAAATGTAGCTCCTGTGGGTTAATGCATCAACTGGAATTCCAGTCAGAGTCAACAAAAGCATTTCATTTGTTGATAAAATAAAAATAGTTTAGTCCGTTAATAATACTGCTAATAATACTATTACCACTAATAATAATATCACTTAGCTCACAATTTAGGTATATCCAAAAGAACAGTGTTGTATAATAACTATTGTAAATTGACTACATGTTGACATTCTTGTAGTCTATTTATATTCAGGATCAGTACATTCAGATTGTAAAATGGGGTAAAAACGCTCATTTTGTAAATCCATAATGCCACTACATGCCACTTCACAATCCTGGCAAGTAGTATGTACTACCCAATTAGCCTGCCGTAGTAGCATTGTAGAATAAGCTTTGGTTTAATTTGCTAATCAATATACACTTATATTTCATTACCATTTAATCAATAGATCAAGCAAATAACAACAATTTCAAAATATAAATGATTACCTGTCTAGAAAAAGATGCTGCAGAAATTCTTGTTGCAGATTAAACACGGTTTTTTGATAGTGCGACAATTTTGAGTTTATCAAATAATCCGTGAATTTAAACAGTATGTAAGATTTTTTTCATCCAATCAAGACATGAGAACAGGCTGTGACATCACAGTTCACCTCCAATATTAGATTACACCCACACTTCCACAACTGAGAGGTGAATTTCCGTTGTGAATCCTTTGTGGTTAGAAAATAACAGCACTAACTTCCATTTAATTAGCTGGCCAGTCTGAGCTCTATTTGGAGTACTTGTAACTTGCTGTCTATATTCTGTATTCTAGACTTAAGTAAACAATTGCCTTTAGACTAGGAAATACACTGACCTGAGCTGTATACTATGTGTATAATAATTAGGGATGAGTGCATTTTCGTAGAATAATAAATGCATAATTGTATGTGGAAAGCTATATTTGATGTAATAAGCTTCCATTATAATTTTATATAAATAATTTTATATAAAATATTCAACAACAAAAGCATTAACTTTTGTAGTAAAATTTAAAGTGTTTCTATGTGATCTCTGTAATAACAAAAAGAGTAAAAAATATATTGTGAGGTTCAACAACATCCCGTGAAACATAGGCAAGTTACAAAATCTTTGGAAAAAATTATTAAAAAGTTTAAATCATGCTTTCCTTTTCTTGTTAGTTAGTGGTATGTAGATTAATTGAATTAGTTTACACATTATGTTTACAGAACTATTAATTAAACACAGAATTGTAACAAAAAGCCAATCTGTGTAGTTCTGCAGTTCTTTTTAAGTGTAATCTATACTAAAGAAACATTCACCATTGTATATGCTATCTGCCCTATCTGTCTGGCAGGTTAATGGAATTTTGTCAACAGGTGAAATACATGAAAAATTTAGTTTACTTTATTATTTTCAAATACTACCTCATAAGAGAAAGTAACTACTAGAGATGTATTGAAATACATTCAAACAATTCATTTTCTTGTCCCAATAAAAGGCTGGAACACCTAGAACAATAATACACTCTTACATCACATAAAAAGTGTGAAATGATAATGGAAGCTAACGTTTCGATACCTGTTTGTTATAATGCCGTTTGTACTATTCCAGAACCACCTTCCTTAAAAAAAATGGGATTCAGAAATAGGCAGAATCATCCTGTGGGACTACTCTTTCACATTGATACATACAATGGACTGACACTCCCACCATCATTAGAAATCGCTATACTTAGAATATTTTATTCTTTATTGACATGATCAGAAGGGATGATTGTAAAACATCTTCATTACCGTCAGAACCCTCCTAGCACATCAGTGGTAAAGTACCAGCAGGCAGCCCCGAGCTGTCAATGTATTTTTAACAAATAAACATTTGGATTGAGCATTATACTCAGCGAGTGGCATTTTGAACATGTAAGACAAAAATTTGAAATCAGATGGCGAACAACGAAAAATAAACTAATGTGACATACCAATTGTGTGGTCTCCACGTGGGCCATCGCCATATCTTAAGACATTTGTACATTTTTGACTATGTACAAATGCTTTTCTTAATGGTAATGTTATGATTTGGGAGAGAGAGAACTTTTTGCTTTTCTCTACAGGAGATATTCATTTAGATCTAAACCTGATGCCATGGACCCAGCTAGCCTTTAACATTGTTAACCAGGTTTTTAGTTTTGTGTGTTCAGGTTGATGGGACTACTTTGATGATGTCACTACTTTTCTAACAAGTTTGTGTACTCATTAAAGGTGCAATCTAGCATTAGAAATATAAACATATTTTAGGCAACTTTTTTTCTTCTTTTGCACATTAATAGCCAAGGGTTACCCCCTTTACTGCTCACCTTATGCTTCCCTAGCCTTTTTGTCTTGAAACACAAACATATATCTATCTCCTGCCTATTTAAATTCAAGCCCTTCAATAGTAAAATAAATAGTAGAATAAATAATTAAAAAACTTACTTTTCATCACTTGCTGTACCTGTCTTGCTGTGGCTCTGATGATTGCCTCAGCCAATCCAAAGCTTCCCCATAAGGAAGCATTTAGTTGCTACTGAGCATGTTCAGAGATCGGCATCTCCTAACAGAGATACATTATCTCAAGTGTTTGGTGTCTTCATGCAAAGCGTAAAGATGCCTAATGTCAGTCCTGCAATCATTGCAGAGCCACAACAGGAAGTACCTCTAGTAGTTGTCTGAGTGACAGGGACAAATGTAAAAGGCTCTGTTTACAATTGTCAGGGTGCTGGGACACACTGATTGCACCAGAACCACTAAATTAAACTGTAGTGGTTCTGCTGCTTAAAGTGTACCTTTGATATGTTTCTGAGGATTAAAGCTACATACAAAAGCCGTGTACATTGAATTGGAGGGTTGTGACTCTTTTAATGTCTTTGTTTCGGTTTGATCTACCCTACATGAATAAGCTTTGTATCTAACCTAAAAACATTTTTCACCATTTTGTCAAGTTATATCATTACATACAGAATACAGAAATATAAACTGTATTACTAATTTAACAATATATATCAAATGGATTTTTTTTCTCTCAATGTTTGTCCATTTGCCTGAACTTTAAACATAAATGTCTTTATTCGGACATGATCTAAAGACAGAAACCACAGAGTGTAACTACTAATTATATCTGGCTTCAATACAGACAGAAACATTTGTATTCATGTTATATATGATATTTCTGAGAAAAATCATCACAACACAGCCATATAGAAAGTTTAGATTGATGTTTTGGTATCTTGGTGATGTAGCGGGTGTGTTTATTTGAGGCTGTGGATGTAGACATTACTTGAATGCGTAGGATTATAATTATAGTTTGGCAAATGGAATATGCTTAAACAATAATAAATGTTTACTCGTGGTGAATGCATTGTAATGGAATGTGTGTGTAACAAAGGGATGTTACAGAAAATATATTATTCTACATATGTGGTATGCATTTAATGTAACATTCAACTACAAACACTGGGTCTATAGTGTATCCACTTTGGAGATTTTATCACATCCAACATAACTCACTTCTGATTCAAGTAATACGTTAAACGAACACTGTAAGCACCATAACCACTGTGGCACACTAGAGTGTTCCTTTAATATGTACACTTTAAAACCAGTGACAGGTGAAGTGAATAACATTGATTATATTGGTACAATAGCACATGTCAAGGGTTGGGCTATATTAGGTAGCAAGTGAACAGTCGATTCTTGAACTTCATCTGTGGGAAACGTATTGCAAGGAAGGACAACTGGTGATAGGCTCATATATGTCAAAGGTTCACTGATGTTTGTGGGGAGTGTGATGGACCGCTGCACTCTGACTGAGTACCTCTGCCAATCGGTGCTCCTAGTGCTTGCCGAGGACTCCGAGCACTCCAACCGACATCATCAGCACTACGGACCCCACTTCCATCGATTCAGCTGCGCCGGGGTCTCGCCGTCTCTCACCCACCCTGGATCCACGACCAGGATCCAGCTCCCAGTGGGTGAACCTCTGCTAAAATCAGAGAGTGTAGCAGGAACAAATCAAGCTCTTACAAGAGCTCACTCTGGGGAGTAAGTGATTATAGCAATCCCCAGAGTGTAGGTATCCCTTGCCCCAGGCCAAGGCTTCAAGAAAGGTGCAAGTAGGTCTGGTTTATTGAGGGATACCTGCCTGGTATTTATGCAAGTGTCCACCAGGTGGACACTTCCCTAGGGGACCTGATGGAACAATGGGACACATATTGGATATTAGCCAATCACAGACAAAACAAACAAAACACTCCCACAGTGACATCACAATCCCTCCTCTCTATCCTGGAGATAATTGGGAAGTAATCAAATTATCTCCCAGGACAGAGGCAAGACTCCATTAACCACATGGTTACAAAAAGACATAAAATTACACAATGTTACAATTACTACATAAAACATATACATGCAACATATCCCCAGATAGCTAAGATCTCAGCGCACATTATTACTGAATGGCGCTCAGATCACCTACATGCAGTTCAATCAACATGGAGCCAAAGCCTTTTCCATAGTCTTTCGTTACACGAACAGGCTCCATGGCATAGCTATCTGGGGTAGCACTACTCATATACTGAAAGTCCCGAACCTCCCGGCAGAAATACACAAATAAACCTTTCTGCAGGGGAAAATGTGGATCAGCACAGGGGCCATAGTCAGAAGGCAGGAGGCTAGCCAGTAGTCCCCTCCAGGCACAAGTGGCAAAGGGACCCGGTTGGGATGTAGCTGGGGAGGGGAAGTTTTGCTTACCTCCTCCTCCTGGCATCCCTGAGGGGTTGGTTGAGGATCTGGACCGCCCGTCCAGCATCCCTGTAGGACTGGCACAGAGAGCGCGGTCCCTTCTGCGCCAGTGTGGTTAGGGTTGTCTTCCCCCTCTCCCAGTATCTCTGGCTGCTGTTTGCCCCCCTCCCTAGGACGCTGGTTGCAGTAAGGTGGAGGGATCGACCATCACCTCCTCCTGGAACTCAGGCCGCTGCTGGGGAGAGAGACCGGTTGTCTCCTCTCCCGGCAAAGTATAATGCTGCTGGGGATCTGGGCCGGCTGTCCAGCATCCCTGTAGGGCCGGCAGAGAGACCTCGGTCCCATCTCCGCTTGCCATCTGTGGGTCTTCCCAGGCCAAGTCTATGAGGTCCCTAACCTCTGGTACTTCTGGCTGCTATTGGAGAGGGAGGCCGGTTGCCTCCCCTCCCCAGGACGCTGGCTGCTGTACGGTGGAGGGATCGACCATCACCTCCTCCTGGAACTCAGGCCGCCGCTGGGGAGGGAGACTAGTTGTCTCCTCTCCCTGCAAAGTATACTGCCACTGGGGAGCAGGACCGACTGTCCCTACTCCTGGTTGTATACTTGGTTGCTGTGCTAAGCTGAACAGATGTTGGTAACTCTGCTCCAGCTCCCACTCCATTGTGACTAGATAAATCAGGTCTGGCCCCAGGTCATCAACTCGGGGAAGATCCAGCAGAGTTTCCCTGATGTCGTGGATGTCCCAGAGCTGACATTCTGCTGGGCATCCAAAGTCATTGCCCTCCTCAAAGGCCTCCCACAGTAAGCCTGGGCCATTACAATCCTCTCCTTCCGGCAGATAGTGGTTAGTCATCCAGGGGTTGCGCTGGGTGGCGTACCACTTTAGTGCCGGTAAGCTCCATCCAGCCACAACTCCTTCCAAATCAGGTCCCACAGTTCTATTACCCACTCATCAAGGGGTTGCTCCCCTAGGAAAGGTGACCGCAGGGCCACAAGTACCTGTAACCGCTGTTCATCACTGGGAAGGCTCTCTCTCCGACGCCGCTGTACCTTCTCTAAGGCCTCATACCACAGCTCCTTCCGAGTGGCATCTCTCCAGTCCAGTATGCCCTCCTCTGATACAGGCCCATCCTGCTGGGCCAAGTGTTCCTGTTATCTCCAGAGAAACTCCTCTTCACATGGGGATGCTGCACGGTCGCTAGGTTGCTCCATTCTCTCGATTTCCTCTCGATTTCTTCTTTAATGCAAATGTATTAAACCGAAAAAGCTGAAATATCACATTAATATAAGTAGTCAGACCCTTAACTCATAACTTAGTTAATGCACCTTTGGAAGTGAATACAAGTCTTTTGGGGTATAATATGGCAAGTTTTGCACATCTTAATTCGGGTAGTTTCTGCTATTCATCTTTGTAGATCCTATTAAGCTCTGTCAGGCTGGATGAGGACCACTGGTGGACAGCCATTTTCAGGCCTCTCCAGAGATGTTCAGTTGGGTTTTAGGCTAGGCTTTGTGCCTCTCAAGGGCATTTACAAAGCTATCTCTAAGCCACTCTTGTGTTGACTGTGTGCTTAAGGTCCTGTTGGGAGGTGAACCTTAGGTTAAGTTTAAGTTCCTGAGTGCTCTGGAACAGATTCTCACTAATTATATTGCTGCATTCAGTTTTCCTCAACCCTGACAAGTTTTTTCAGTTCCTGCATCTGAAATACACCCTCAGAGCATGATGATATCACTACCATTTCATACACGATGAGTGATGCCTGGTTTCCTCCAAACATGATGGTTTGAAATGGGACAAACAGTTCAATATTAATTTCATCAGACCAGAGAATCTTGTTTCTCATGTTGAACAAATGCATAAACTCCCTGAAATACAATTTCTATTAGTAACACACATATTTAATGATAATGATGCCATAGATTCCTAATTGAGCCAGCATGACCACATGACTCTCACTTACTTTTGTAATAGATTCAAGCAAATACTTTGAAGAAGGAATTGGCAGGTATTGAAATAGCACAAAAGACAAAGATGACTCTACAGCAAGCATTTCAAACTCGTGGCCCACAGGCCGCATGCGGCCCACAATGGACATCTTTGCGGCCCGGCAAGCCGCGAGTACATTCTTAGTGTTATAGCAGAGTAGGCACCTGCTTTCCCCACATTGCTAAAACTTACCTGGCCGGGGAGGAGGGCTCACTCGGGCGCGCCGTGTATAGTGAAGCCGGGCGCCGGAATATGACGTCATATTCCGGCATCTAGCATCACTAAACCGCGCGAGGGAGCAGTGAGGAGCAGATAGAAGATCCACACTGGACCCAGGCAGAGGCCCCACATCGGCTCCCAAAGGTAGGGTGCAATAAAGAAAATGATGTGTGTGCAAGAATGTGTGTGTGTCTGTCAATGTGTGTGTGTGTCAGTGAGTGCCTGTGTGTCTGTCAGTGAGTGTGTCTGCCTGTGTGTGTCTGTCAGTGAGTGTGTGTGTGTCTGTCTGTTTGTGTATATGACTGCGAGTGTCTGTCTGTGAGTGTCTGTATGAGTGTGTGTGTCTGTTGGTCAGTGTTGCATTGGCTGCGACTGGACAGTAGAGTACCTGGAGGTGCACGGAGGCACACAACGCCACGTTACATTACGACGTGACATAGAAACATAGAAACATAGAATGTGACGGCAGATAAGAACCATTCGCCCCATCTGGTCTGCCCAATTTTCTAAATAATTTCAAAAGTCCCTGGCCCTCTCTTACAGTTAGAAAAGCTTTATGCCTATCCCATGCATGCTTAAATTCCTTTACTGTGTTAACCCCTACCACTTCAGCTGGAAGGCTATTCCATGCATCCACTACCCTCTCAGTAAAGTAATACTTCCTGATATTATTTTTAAACATTCGCCCCTCTAACTTAAGACTATGTCCTCTTGTTGTGGTGGTTTTTCTTCTTTCAAATATAGTCTCCTCCTTTACTGTGCTGATTCCCTATATGTATTTAAATGTTACTATCATATCCCCCCGTCTCGTCTTTCCTCCAAGCTATACATGGTAAGTTCCTTTAACCTTTCCTTGTAAGTTTTATCCTGTGCTTCACCTTCACATGGTTTCAAGAAGTAGCGGGAGGATCAGATTTGGCACAGGGTGCGGACGGTGCTATTTGGGGTATACCAGAGGCAGGACTCTGGAGTCGCATACTGGCAGCGGCAATGTAAGTGGAGTCTGCTTGTTGGCTAGAGGAGGGTGCTGGGATTTAGTAGAGGGGGAGGACTGGGATTTAGTATATGGGGGAGACTGGGATTTAGTATATGGGGGGGACTGGGATTTAGTAGAGGGGGGTGCTGTGGTTTAGTAGAGGGGGACTGGGGTTTAGTAGAGGGGGGACTGGGATTTAGTAGAGGGGGTGCTGTGGTTTAGTAAAGGGGGATTTTTTACACTGTACTTTTCAAAATAAACCCATGTTTCTATGAAAGTTTAAGGTGTTTGCAGGCCAGCATAAGCTTAAACCTTGTTTATGTGGCCTGTGCTATACTTTGAGTTTGACATGCTTGCTCTAGAGGCATTGACAGAGTTAAATAATACAAAAGACACACAGATGGGGCTTCAACTTTTAAGTTGAAACATAAATGCACACCATAGTGAAGTACTATTACATTGTGTATTGTACCATTGTTATAGATTGCACTCACTCAAGATTTAAGAAATGAAATGCCATCAAGCTACTCAGGGTTTTCTTAATGAACTGCCAGTATGATTCCTCTGTTTGCATTCTCTGCAGGAATACTTGAGGGATGCCAGTGTAGATAAAAGAAGAATTAATTCAAATGATTTACAAAAAGCAACAAGGGGTCCTACACGTTTCGTCCATTTGCCTTGGACTTTTTCATGGACCACTTGCATTTAAAACACACAAAAAATATATAATAAATGTCACATACATTCTTCCAACCAACATTCTTCCCCCCGGTGTCCATATAAATAGTCCTGGATCTTCACTGGTCTATGTCTCTTGATCCTCCTTCTTGGGTTAATCATGGAGCTCAGTGCTTGAAACTTCTGTGCTGTTTTACTTGTTGATTTGATTCACTTCCTGATGTTGTATGCGTTCCACAGTGTGTTTCAAGCGTATACACTTTTCATATATTCGGTATCTACAAGTATCTTAGAAGAAATAAATAATGTAGCTGTATACCATGATACGAAACATTATATTAATCTCAATCTTAACATTGATAACATTCTAATGTATTAGCGCACATAATAGCAATAGCTCTCAATATAGACTGGACACAAATGTAGAAAAATAAAAAAGTAAAAAGTATTTGGAACTTATTAAATTGAAACAAGTTCTTGCAAATTGCATTGGAATAAGCTTCTTCTTGATACTCCAACACTCAAAGGGTTACACCCTGTAGGGATAACCTAGTTAGATATCCAATATATTCAATCCTGATAGATTTCTTTATGGTCCAAATCTAAGGGATAAAGCATATAGAACTTCCTATGGTGTAGCACTATATATACAGGGGTTAACACTACTCCCCCTATATGTTGTGCTCACCTGGTACAGGGAGTTTAACTGGTCCCACAGTGTACTCACAATATACATACAAGTAATGAGCCTTCAGTGGTTAAAAGGATTTCCACACTTAATGATTTACATAAAACAAAATAAAACAAAATCTTTGCAGCTGGCTTACAGTTACAGCTGTCTCCTGCCCAGGGCGAAACGCGTAAGTCACATGGTGCCGACATTCCTGGCGTTCAGGGGTGAGGATCAAACAGCGGTATTGGTGGACGATCAACTGATTATGATCTTTTTAATTTCCCTATGAACTGTAAGCCAGCTGCAAAGATTTTGTTTTATTTTGTTTTATGTAAATCAATAAAGTGTGGAAAGCAGGAAGGGACAGAAAGAAGCTGGAAAGGGCAGCGAGGAGCAGAAAGGGTCAGCAATAAGCTGGAAGGGGCAGAAGGAGCACAAACGTAAAGTAGGAGAAGGAGTAGAAATTAGCAGGAAGGGGCAACAAGGAACAGGAAATTGCAGCAAGTAGAAGGAAGGGTCTGCAAGGAATAGAAAGGGGCAGCAAGGAGCAAAAAGGGGCAGCAAGGAGCGCAAAGGTAAAGTAGGAGAAGGAGTAGCAAGGAGCAAAAAGGGGCAGCAAGGAGTGCAAAGGTAAAGTAGGAGAAGAAAAAGACAGAAGGAGCACAAAGGTGAAGGAGCAGAAATAATCAGAAGGAGCACAAAGGTAAAGTAGGAGAAGGAGCAGAAAGAAACAGGAAGGGACAGCAAGGAGCAGAAAGTGGTAGCAAGGAGCAGAAAGGGGCAGCAAGAAGCTGGAAGGGGCAGAAGGAGCACAACGGTAAAGGAGGAAAAGGTGCAGAACAGGGCAGCAAGGAGCAGAAAGAGACAGCAAGGAGCTGGAAAGGCAGCAAGGAGTAGGAAGGGACAGAAGGAGCACAAAGGTAAATAGGAGAAGGAGCAGAAAGGAGAAGGAACAGAAATAAGCAGGAAGGGACATTAAGGAGCAGAAAGGAGAAGGAACAGAAATGATCAGGGAGGGAGATCAAGGAACAGAAAGGGTCAGCAATGAGCTGGAAGGGGCAGAAGGAGCACAAAGGTAAAGTAGGATAAGGAGCAAAAATGAGCAGGAAGGGTCAGCAAGGAGCAGAAAGTGTCAGCAAGGAGCAGGAAGGTCAGCAAGAAGCTGGAAGGGTCAGCAAGGACCAGGAAGGGTCTGCAAGGAGAAGGAAGGGTCTGCAAGGAGCAGAAAGGGGCCGTTTCAGAAGCTGAATACCACTGTGCGACCTGGAGATCTGGCAGTAAAGGAAGCCTTTGGAGTTTAACCATTTGAGAGTGGTTTAACCCCTTAAAGGAAAGAGCGCATCCGGGGGCTTCCTGGCATCATAGCATTTTCATTTAGATTAAGTTGTTATGGTGACCAGAATAAAAACATGTATTCCTGCCACCATAGTTGAAAAAACGCTATTTACCCTGGCTTTATGTGATAATGACTATGCCCCTTCCATTTCATGACACTGTCAAAAAGGGACCAAGCATGGATTTCATTACGATTATGGAAAAATTCCTGCGGACGCCCCTGATTCTCTCTACTCATGTTTCTCCAGATCAAACGGTGATGGAGAAAGATCCCTGTCACAGGAATTGATACTTTTGTTCAAATAAACAGCTTACCAGATCCTCTGTTTTTAAAATCTAGCTGTTTAATCAGGTTATAATTTTGAACAGGCTTGAAAGGTAATGAAATAGTATGAGACAATGTCTACAAATCACAATGAATACTTGAAGTATTGGTTTTGGAGCACAGCCATTACTTCAATGGGCAAATATGAAAATATGAATTTGTAAAGAAGATATTGTAAATATAAAAGAAAAAATTACTTTACCTGTGACAAAATGATTTCTAAATAGAAAGGAGTTATACTGAGTCTCACCTTTCTCGCTAGCAGCCTTTCTTCCCTCATTTCCTGCTTTACTACATGGGGTTCAAACGATCTGAGCTTTAGCTTTCCTAGTGAGAAGTCTGTACTATAGATGAAAGAATGTGCCATTAGCATGAAAATGATTAAAACAGCTTTGTAAATAAATAATATTGCACACTAAAATATATTAAAGAAAGTACATTTGCATCTCACAAACTACATTAAATACTAATGTTAGTGGGAACCTGACCTAGTTCTATCAGGTACTCAGGGTATGATAGCTAGTTGTCAGGAACTTTTGAAAACACTGGCATTTGTAGAGGAAGGCAGTGCTTGGAACAAGGAGACTACTTTTGTTGCAAATTTGAGAAAAATTGGCATAATTGGCAGCATTTAGATCAGACATGTATGACATTTAGCAGTTCATGAACTAAGCAATCCATCGCCTCCTATTTAATAGCAATAGGACCTTAACCCCTTAAGGACACATGACATGTGTGACATGTCATGATTCCCTTTTATTCCAGAAGTTTGGTCCTTAAGGGGTTAAAGCAGCACTATAGGGTCAGGAACAAAAACATGTATTCCTGACCCTATAGGGTTAAAACCACCATCTAGTCCCCACAGTCCCCTCATGCCTCCCTAAAAATAGTAAAATCTTACTTGTATTCAAATCTGAAGCTGCTGGCTTTGTCACTGTTTCCTTTAGAAATAGCCACTGCCTACTGACATCAGCAGAAGTGGTAGCCTGATCCAATCACAATGCTTTCGCATAGGATTGGCTGAGACTGACAAAGAGGCAGATCAGAGGCAGAGCCAGCACAATTCAAACACAGCCCTGGCCAATTAGCATCTCATCATAGAGATTAATTGAATCAGTGAATCTCTATGAGGAAAGTTCAGTGTCTGCTTGCATAGGGAGGAGATACTGAAAGTTTGGATGCATTCTGAGGAGTGGCCAGTGAAGTTATCACTAGGCTGTAATGTAAACACTGCATTTTCTCTGAAAAGACAGTGTTTACAGCAAAAAGCCCGAAGGTAATAATTCTACTCACCAGAACAAATTCAATAAGCTGTAGTTGTTCTGGTGACTATAGTGTCCGCCAGAATGCATTAAAATTGTGTCTGAAAGTTGTTGAAACTGAAGAATATATATAAAATATCCTTCTTACAGTTCTGTGAAAATTGCTCACCTATATCCTTGCTATTTTTACTTCTCCAACATTCTCTGCATGAATACACATTTCGTTCTGAGCCATGGGTTAAGGGGAGGCATTTTTAAAATAACAGTTACCAGGCTTATAGACACATCTAAATGCATATGTGGATGAACAGTTACTCGACTACATATGTTTTATGAATTGTGATGTTACCAGTGATGCAATCTGTGCTGGTTTTGATAGCCTACTGTGCACATAGCATCTACAGTAATATATACTGATTAATTGTTTCCAGGCACAAAATAGCAAAATATGTGTCGCGGTCTGGATGCTACAAGATTGCTGAATGTGTCCTGTGGTATCTGTCACAAATAGATTACTAGCAGATCCTTTAAGTCCTGCATGATGCAATGTGGAGCCTCCATGGATCAGATGTTTTGGTCCAGTACATCCCACAAATGCTCAATAGGATTGAGATCTGTGGAATTTGGAGTCTGGCTCATGTCATGACACATCAAACTGAAAGTGTCCACTATAAATCTGGCTCCTAGATACATACGTTCCTGTTATGTCCTTTGGAAGATCAATCCTGTTTCCCATGCCCTTGTCCTTCCTGCCTCTAGTCATATCCTTTATACTACACGTTGTATACGTCACAATGATTGATGGGCAAGAAGAATACAAAGTGCATTCCATCACTGACTCTAGGTTTTCCCATAGGTCCTTGCAATAGATGGTGCACTGGAAGGGCTTTGGTCCTGAAGAGCATTCTTGGGTCCCTGCCGCAGATGTTCACACTGCTCTTTCCCTACTAGTTTTCCATTGAAACCTGCACCTGCCAGCCTGGTGGGTGGTTTCAGGGAGGGGGTATTGTCACAACACTTGACCAGCGTGTTAACTTGACGACTCCCGTTTGGCACGGTCATGTCGGGTGCATTCCCGTGCAGTCTCTCACCTTGCTGTGGATGTTGCCTCCCATGCTGCCCATTCTCTTTCTGGTGTTTTTTCTGATGCTGGCTGCTTCTCCTCAGAGACCAGTTATAAGTGATACAAATGTGAATGCACGTTTTGACATCACATGTCAAACTAACTAACAGAACTGACAGAACTAACCAAACATTTTTAGGTCTATTTTAGCTTTTCTTCTGTGTCCTGTCGTAGTTTCCATTTACTGGAAGAGTGTATTTTTCTGCCCTGGCAATATGACTATATATGAACTATTTATATGTTTAACATAGGCACTGCATGTTGTCCTGACAGTGTGTGGTAGCATCTTTATTGCTATTTGAGCTAAATTATGATATTTTTATTTTTTTATTTTAATGAATTATAATTTAAACAATTGTAGCATTAAGGCTGCAACATGCACCAAAAATAATTATGGGGTATGAATGTTTTCTAAATTATATTATATATATATATATATATATATATATATATATATATAGAGAGAGAGAGAGAGAGAGAGAGAGAGAGAGAGAGAGAGAGAGAGAGAGAATCCCTGCACTCAATCTGTAATATTTCAAAAAAGTTACTGGGTGCCAGCCTGGGCTCAAGTGTATACAGGAAATAGAAAAAAGTATAACTGCATTCACGGTTGATGGATAAAATCTTCAATGCTTTATTTGGTCATTTAAAATAAGGATCGACGTTTCAGTCCATCTTGTGGACTTTCCTCAGGATCAAAACATGAATACCGATACAAAAACTCTTGAATACATACATACATAATTAACAACAAGATGATCTAACTTACCCCAGGTGAGGTGTGTTGCCGACGGCGTTCAGCTGAATGCGGGGCGCATGCGTAAAAGTGACTCCACCTCTCATGTGATGTCATCACGAACAAATGTGATTGCAGTCGGCACGTTCCTATGACAACGAGTATAAACAAATGATACGTGCTCATATAGTCTAGCAATAGGGATATTGCAAACCCTTTGAATATAAAGTGCATAAGAGTGATGGTACTAAATAGATGAGAGATATGAACGGATGAATCAACAGTGAATTGCTTACATAGTTAACATATTAGAGGCACCAAATAATAGTGCATTACATTAAATTCCTAAAATGTGAGTTGTCACTGTATTTTAAGTGGCTCTTGCAATACTTAAAGTGACAATGCATATGAAATAATGTGCATAAAGTGCAGAAAAGTGCCAAACATAATAACTAGTGATGTAAAAGTGGCAAACATCAGAAATTGTTATTTCATATATTGCTAAATATAATTCACTATTAAAAATACTGTTGCAAATACCTGTTGAACCAAGATTATATAACAGTATAAATACAGACTTAATAATAACCAAGTCACATATGTATGGGGCCAAGAGAAATTACATAAATTGCTAACAATTGAACTTTTTAGTTTTAACTATTAGATATTCATTTTTTAGAAGACTAGATATTGCAATGTTAATTTCCATCTCATTATAACATATTCCTAATTATATCAAAAGCCATTATTAAAACAGTTATAGCTATTCAATTGTTGCAGTTTAACTATAGTACTTAAAACAATACACCCCAATGTGACAAGGCGAAAAAATACTAATAAAAAATATATTGCAAAAATCAAAAATCCAAAAAGTATTGCAAAAATCAAAAATATTAAAAATATATTAATTCAACAACATTCAGGAAGATGAGAAAGTGCTAAAGCTTTTAAAAATGAATAAAAGGGAATTGTTTCATTAAGTCCCTTGGGATATAGGGTGCCCAGTTCATAGATCCAGTATGCTTCCCGGTTCAAAAGCAGCTTGCCTCGATCGCCTCCTCTCAATGGCATTGGTACATGTTCAATACCTATAAACTTCAATGTAGACAACGGATGGTTTTGCTGTAAAAAATGTTTTGCCACTGGCTTATCCGATTTTCCGTCTCTATAGGTTAATCTGATACTAGATCTGTGTCCCTTATCCGTTCGCACAAGGCAGTTTTGTTTTTTTCAATATATGAGAGACCACATGGACAAGTAAGCTTGTAGATGACGTGTGTGGTCTTACAGGTAATTGTATGTTTAATCTCATATTTTTTATTTGTATGGGGATGATTGAAGATGCGAGTAGATAACATATGGTTGCATGTGACGCAGCCTAGACAGTGTATAGAACCCAGATTTTGATTACTCTTGGCTTGCAAATAGCTCTTGCTGGGATCGGTATGAACAAGGAGATCTTTAAGGTTCCTATTCCTCCGATAGCACAGCATTGGTTTTTCTTTAAAAACTTTTGGTAGCGTGTCATCACTTGAGACCATTTTCCAATTCCTTCGTATTATATTGGAAATTTGTGGACTCTTTTGGTGAAATTCCATAGGGAAAACAAGTCTTGGAGGGCAAGTACCTTTACTACGAAGGCAGGCACTCTCTGCTTCTTTAATTGCTTTCTGTAAGGCTTCTTTCTTGTGTCCCCTCTCTAAGAATTTTGTAGTCATTTCTTGTAACTGAATGGCTTTTGTTTCTTCCTCGGAATTATTTCTTATGACATGTAAAAACTGGGCTTTTGGAAGGGAATCCTTGAGTGCTCTAGGGTGGGCACTTTGATAATGCAACAAAGTATTACGGTCTGTAGGTTTTGAATACATGCTATACTGTATTTTGGAGTCTTTGATGGTAATTAGAAGGTCAAGAAAATGTATTTGACTGGGGTGCACATTGGCCGTCAATCTAATTGGAGTAGGTAATTGATTCAACTGATTAATCATTTCATATGCTTCGTCTTTTGTCCCACTCCATATAATTAACAAATCGTCAATAAAACAGAAATACCTGAGGATGTTCTGTTGATGTTGATGTTGGTGCCATTGCGGCACCCATTGAAGTTCCAGCGATTTGTAGATACCACTTATCTTCAAATCTGAAGTAATTGTGTTGTAATGTGAGCATTAAAAGCTCTAAAGTATATTCCATTTTGATGGATGAGTAAATACTTGTCTCATTGCCTCTACCCACTCTTCATGAGGAATCACTGTGTAGAGGCTTGCCACGTCCATAGTAATTAGTATAGGATTCTTGTCATTAATATCGATCATTATGAGTTGTGTTATCAAAGATAATGATGCAAATCACTTCCTGGTTTCGTTCCGATCACGTGGTCCGCTTCCGGGTCCGCCCCTCTAATGATGTGCATGTGACGCGTTTCGCCCGCCTCCACAGGCTTCCTCTGGTTGTGTCACCAGAAAGTTATTCGCATTCTTTGCTGTTTTACATGTTTTTATGTGGGTGCCTCTGCAAGTATATACCCACCACATCCCAAGTAAGGGTTTTAACTTTTGTTACTAAATAAATTGCTTGTGATATTATTCAACTGATGGTCCTGCCCTTCTTTACTTTATTCCACACAATATTATTGAACTGCCAGTGGATACATTATCCGGAACGATCTTCAGTGTGGGGATACCCCCTCTCCAAAGGAGCTTTGAAAACCCAGAGCCAGGGGTGATAGGGCTCTGGGACATGTGAGTTCCTTCCCTCATACCCCCTCAATTTTTTTTCTTTTATGTCTATCCAGATTGTCAGCACTATCATTTGCTCTCCTTTATATTTACAGATCAATTTAGCGTGCTTTTCTTGGTAATTATTGATTTTTGTGTACGTTTTTGTGTGTATCACTGGTCTAAGTGCTGCCATATTGTCTGTATCACATCCCATAGCGCTTACCCATTGGTTCTTTTTGTACTAATTAACCCCTTAAGGACACAACTTCTGGAATGAAATGGAATCATGACGGAATATTTCCGTCATGTGTCCTTAAGGGGTTAAAAGTATTTCGAAAATAGGGCAGACTAGATAAGCCGAATGGGTCTATGTTTCTTAGGTAAATGTTCTGGGGACACAGAAAACAAAATTGCCACACAGTATACCAAAATTTAGAAGCCAAACATACCAAATTATAAACTCATTACAGATTGAAATTGTGTTTTACTACTTGTATTTTGTGACCTGTAACTATCAAAGTAAACTGACATCCTAGACATATGATATACTTTGTAAATCAGGACAAATAAATCAATTTATTTTGAATTACTTTTCTTTAGCTGCACTAATTATGTATTCATTAGTATTTCCAAAACTGTGAACACATTTGGTTTGCATATTATTTTTTATAATTAATGAGACTGTATATATGTGTATGTCACATCAAATTAAAGCCTTTTTGTCATTTAAAATGTGTAAAAATGGTATATAAAATGTGTAGCTGCAGAAATGAGAAAGATCAAAATTGCAGTTGGACACCCAAGCAGGAAAAATAACAACATTTCGTGTGTTCTTTAACTACAAACCAAGCAAACTGAAGCTGTGTCAATAAGGGATTAATCATATAAATGAATAACAGTTATCACTAATAATATTGACTTAATTCATACATTCATTCAAGAAAATAATTATTTAATGGAACTAAAGATACAAAAGAATCCATGATTTTTACCAACAACTTTATTTTTAACAACACACATTCACACATTATTTTCCATCCTTTTTAATCCATTTTCTTTCTGGATTGACGCCATCTTCTTGTACTTTTTTAAAATCATATGTCGCATTTGTTTATGCTCTTCTAAGAAAGTATTTCGTTTATTTTCTATTTTCTTCAGCTGAAACACAAAATGAATAAATAAATAATGTTAGCACTCTTCCCTAAATATGTAGCAAATAATGGTTTGTGTTAAAATTATCGCTTTATATAGGGAATAAAACATCACATTCTGTGTACCCAAGGTTCTTCAGATCACATGGAGTCGAAACGCTGCTGATGTGGTTCCTAATAAAGTTCCTGTCTTGAACCAAGGACTGCCTGGACCTCTATTACTATGTTACAGGAACTGCTAAACTATTGTCTAAATAAACAGCTTACCAGGTCATACCGGTTATAATTTTGAACAGGCTTGATATACATATAGACATTTATAAAGAAATATTTGGAAAGATATTGTAAGTATTAAAGAAAATGTATTTTACCTGTAACAAAATGATTTCGAAATAGAAATGAGTCTTACCTTCCTCTCTAACAACTTATCTTCCTGCAAATTCTGAATTATTGCACTGGGTTCATACGATTTTAGCTTTAGCTTTCCCTGTGAGATGTCCTTACTAGAGATGAAAGAATGTGCCATTAACATGGAATTATTAAAGTAGCTTTGCAAATAAATAATATTGCACACTAAATTATATATTGTTTATTACACTATATTAAAGCAAGTAAATGTACATCTCAAAAACTGCATGAAATACTAATATTATTGAGAACCTGACCAGGTTTGACTAGAGATTCAGGGTGATGATAACTAGCTCTCAGGAACGTTTGAAATCACTGGCATTTGTAGAGGAAGGCAGTGATTGGAACAAGAGACTACTTTTGTTGCGAATTTGAATAAAAGTACCATAATTTGCAGCACTTAAATCTGACATGTATGACATGTCTATTTGATAGCAATAGGCCCCCAAATGGAATCCATTAGAATTGTGTCTGAACTCTGCTGAAACTGAAGGGTACTAGAAGAAAGTCCCCTCTAGTATTTATGCATTGTAATGTTTAATAAACAGTACAGACACTTTTCCTTACACTGCCCCAAGGTGGGGACCTACTTCTGGTTATTGGAGGTCAATGTTATATTCCACCCCCTCTGGTTATTACAGGCCAATATATATATATTACTAACCTATATCCTTCCTGTTTTTCCTTTGCCATCATTCTCAACTGTGGGTCAAGGTGAGGCATTTTTAAAATAACAGTTACCAGACTTAAAGACACAGGTAAATGCAAATGTGGATGGACAGGTACGCAGTTATATATGTTTTTTGAATTGTGATGTCACCAGTGATGTAATGAATTTTATTATTTCACATTAATTGATTATGTGGGTGTATATTAATGTTTACTTTTTGATGTGGTGTTAGCTTGATAAAGACCTGGGTACAGGTCGAAATAATGCGGATCCATTAACCCCTTAAGGACTGAGCCAAATGTACACGTTGTGATCAAAACAAAACGTAAACAAAAACTTGAATTTGCGCTATATCTCTGTACGTAATTCGCCTCTTTCATATTATGTGCACCCACACTTATTATATATAATTTTATTCAGGGGAAACAGGGCTTTCATTTAACATCAAATTTATTTAGGTATGAAACATAATTTAATATGAATAAAATATAAAAAAAATGGGAGAAAATAGAATTTTTAATT